ATGAGACCCCGAAGGGCCGTGGAGGATCTCCCGATCACCAGACCCACGGAATTTTCGGGTAACGGTCCCTTAAAGGTGGTTTCAACCACTTGAACACCCATATCAGGCACTAATATAAGTCTGGAGGCGACACTGAGGTCCACACCTGCTGACCCAGGGGTGGCCCTTGTTGAAGGCTGCCATCCTGAGCTGTCCTGTCTCTGGGGCGGGGGCCCGCCTGTGAAGGGGGCCCCCTCTGGCCGTTTTTTGGCCCTCTAGCATCTCGTCCACAAATACGGTTGCCCTGAGCATCAAAGACCGACCTACACTCCTCAGCTTTGTGTGATCCCCTCTTGCATCGCCCACAAACATATGGTTCTTCATTCCTAGGGCGAGGCCTAGCATCTGCATTGTTTGGGCAATGACGTTTAATGTGTCCTGGCTCCCCGCAGGCAAAACACCCTTTAGCCTTACATTCCCCTTCTAACCCGCGAGGTCCCCTCTGCTGTACAGCCGCGGCCAGGAGAGCAGCCACTCCCGAGTTGGAGAGCGGCCCCCCTATCTCTCTGCATATCCTAATCCAGGCGTTGAGGTCCTTGTTCTTATGAGGAGCTATCGCTGCCTTGCACTCCTTTGTACATTGCTCAAAAATCAGCTGCCTTACCAGCGGTCGAGCCACTCCCGGATCAGAAAATATCTTATCGGCAGCATCTTGCATTCGGGCCACAAAGTCAACAAATGGCTCTGTGGTACCCTGAATTATTTTTGAAAGACACAAGGAGGCTGTTCCGGCACCACTTACCTGCTTCCAGGCGCGGAGCCCTATGGCATTGATTTGTTCATAGACAGCGCCGGGGAACTGAGTCTGATCATCAGTGTGCCGACCTTCTCCCATAAGCATTTCCTTGTTCCACCCCCAGTTTCCCCGACTGGCGTTTCTCTCAGCCTGCTCTGCAGAGAACTCTGCGTACCAGGCTCGCCAATCCAGGTAACTACCCGAGGGCAGACACGCCTTTGCCAGCTGAATCCAGTCCGCGGGGGTGAGGGGCCCAGAAGACAGGTTCTCCAGCATGGCAATGGTGTAAGGCGCAGTCGGCCCAAAGGTTGTAACTGCATTTTTAAGTTCTCTAATCTGCTTTATCTCAAAAGGCTCCCATGCATTACGTCCCTGGCCCATAGCTACTTGTACAGGAAATATCCCGTAGGGGCCACTATCTATCCCAGGTGGTGGATGTACCTCATGAGACAAACGTCCCCCCTGCCAAAGCCGCCTGTAAAAATACCGACCCGCCGGCGGCGGAGCATAAGACGGCGGCCATGATTGGGCGGAAAATGGGGGCCCGTGCATCACTTCCTGTTCTGGTGAAGGGGAAGGGAGCTCCCGGGCGGCCGCCTCGCGGCGAGGGATCACCTCCGGGAACAGCCCCCAAGGTGGGGCGGAAGGCTTCGCCTCCCTCTCGCGCCGGGGAGCGCTCAGGAGCTCTCTACTCCTCCGCAGACCAAGTTGAGCGGAGCGCAATTCACGGCGCAACGCTGGGAAAGAACCCTGCGACTCCTTATCGAGCGACTTAGGCTCCTGACAGCTCGTCTCTTTGGCCTCCTTGCCATTCAACTTTCCCTCGTCCTCGGAGTCAGACGACTCCGAGGCTAGAGCCCCGTCCTTCTCCTTAGCATCTTTGTTCCCCTTGACGGGCCCCTCTCGGGAGCTCCCTGACTGGGCCTGCTCAAATACCCTGCGTACTTTTGTAAGCTCTTGAGAGCTTTCTCCACAACCACCCTCGCTCTTAGTGTTGCTACCTAGCATGTTTCCCATCTTTTAATATGTTACTCACCGCGTGAGGCCCAAGGAATCCGCCACTTACGCGTGAGCCTGAGGGGAGTCTAAAAGCCCTGTAGGTGCGCGCCACCCAGAGCCCAGGCTTATCCCCAACTCACCTGTCTCGCAGCTCTGTACTGGAGCGTTGTCCGCTGTCACGTCTCGGGGGTGATCAGTCCCCGTGCGGGCCACCAAATGTCGATGTCGCTCCCGGCCGGCAGGAAGGACACACGACAAAGTCTGGCAGTGGACAACCTTTTCTTTTATTTTCCTTCTCCGTACAGCCTGCCCTGGGATCGCTCCCAGCCGAAGCCTCCTTTGGTCCGCTCCCCGCGGCTCCTTCTGGGCTTCTACTTCCGGGCTTCTTCTTCCCCCCCAGGGGTGGCACCAGTATATATACGGATACAGTGTCCAATCATGTTAAAGTAAGCAAGGCAAGCTGATTGGCTAACATCATCAGTTGCCAGGCAGACTATATTGTTGAGCGGGTTGCTTACGCGGTAAGCAGGAAACTAACGTGCTCGATGGGAGGGGTAATCTACCTCAGGCTTTACTCTTTACTACAGGCCTCACGTCCGCCAAGTGAGGCGACCGGGCTCGGGGCTGCGGCTCCCAACACAACAGATAACTGCAAGTTACAATATAGTGAAAATGTGGGGGAAATTGGAGTGATGCATGCTAAAAGGTCATGCAGACAGTAACGTCATCAAGTTAGACTCGTAAGTGGAATGGCGTTGAGAGTCCAGAAGTAAACCTCATACTGGATGTGGTGACGCAGGCCTGGAGCCCGACACTCTGGAAGGCTGAAGCAGAGCTGCAAGTACAAGGCCAGCCTGGGCAACCTCACAGCTTAGAAAGACCAGACTCTGTCTCAAAATCAAACATGGGTCGAAGATGTAACCCATTGCAAAGGTTCAATCCCTCCCAGACTGGTAAAAGAAGCAGCTAGAAAGGGATGGGCCATTTCCTCAACTGATTAAATAGTCACCACCAATTTTATTCCTATGTAGATAACCCAGAAGAAATTAAAACATTCACATCAAAAACTTGTCCATCAATGATTATAGCAATATACTTAATAATAGCCAAAAAGTGGAAACAACCTACCATCCATCCACCTATGAATGTATCAGTAAAATGTGGTGTATCTACATAATATATATGACTCTTCTGTTAAAAGGAGGTACCAGTATATTGTAAGACATCAGTAGCTTTAAAGACATTATGCTAAGTGAAAGAAGTTGGTCACAAAAATGTACGACTCCCTGCTTGTGAAATAATCCAGCACAGGCGAGTCTATAGAGACAGAAAGTAGGTTAGTGGCAGCAAGAAGAGGGGTGACTGCTGATGCATGTGGGATTTCCTTTGGAATGAAGAAGACGTTCTAAGGTTGGTTATGGAGATTATACATTTCAAATAGGAGATTTGCCTAGTGAATGAATTAGTATCAGTAAAGTATTATTTTAAAAATGTAGAGAGTGAGCACAGACTGTCCTCCTGTAAACTGCCCAGCTCAGTAACCACTGAGTGCTGCCCCCAGCCCGTGGCACAGTGTTTTTGGGATCAGTGCCGTCATATGGATCAGCGACTCATTTCTTCATATAGCTCCATAATATTCCGCTGTGTGGTGTAGGATTCAGTGTATCCATTCATCAGCTGGTGCACATTTGGGTTGTAGGCTGTTGTGAACCTGGTGCTGTAAACATCTGTGTGCGGGTTTTCCATGGATGTACGCTCTCAATGCTCTTGTGTGGATACCATGCATATAGCCATTAGTCATATGGTAGCTCTAACTTTTTGAAGAACTGTCTGAAACTGTTCTGCATCCTTGCTTATCTGGATTTTTATTATAGCCATCAAAGCAATATGAAGTGATGTGTCTCTCATAGATACGAAGTGGCTTTGATTCACATTTCCCCAGGCATCTTTTCATGTCTACTGTTTATTTGTACATCTTTGGGGAAGTGTCTGTCCCAGTTCTTTGCCCATTGTTTGTTGTAGGGGGGTTTTTTTCTTTGTTTGTTTCTGAAACAAGGTCTCTATGTAGTTCAGGCTGGCCTTAAATTCACTGTGTTGTCCAGGCTGGGCTACAGTTTTGCAGTGATCCTCCTGCCTCAGCCTCCTCAGTGCTGGGATTACAGGCATGCACCACCACACTGGGCTTGTTTGGTTGTCTTTTGTCAGCGAGTTGTTAAATATTCTTTACATATTACTGATCAGATCTGAGCTCATTTTCAGTAGGTAACGATGTTTACCTCCCTTTATCATCATCGAAATATACTAATGGAAAATGTTTGTGATTCTCTGCTGTTGCCCATCATTGTGGTAGACCTTGTTTCACTGTAGTCTGCGTTCTGTAAGAGTGCCAGGTGACACGAGTCAAGCATGGTATTTATGCTGTGTAGCTTTTAGAGCATTTTCAAAGATGCTATTTTGTTTGTTTTGGGTTTTTTTTCCCTCCAATTTGTTAATCTTTGTTTTGTGGATAAAAAAACTAACTCCAAGCTAGGCCCAGTGGTGCAGGCTTATAATCCCAGCACTCTGGGAAGTCAGACAGGAGGATCACAAGTTCCAGGGCAACTTAGTGACTTAGTGAAAATAAATCTCAAAATAGAAAATAGAACTCAGGATGGGACGGCTGGGCTCAGGATGGTGGCACACACCTGTTATCCCAGCACTAGTGAGGCTGAGGCAAAAGGATCACCCCTCATTTAATGCCAGCCTGGGCTCCATGTGAGCTCAAGGCCAGTCTGAACTGCACGCAAGACTTCGTGTCAAAAAGCCAAAAAGAAAAGAAAGAGCTGGGGATGTTGCTCAGTGAGTCAGTGTGGACGCCCTAGGTTTAAACCCCAGTACTAGGGAACTCCCATAACAGTTCCCCAGGCCAGAAAGCGTAGCTGAGCTGTGTTCCTGCTCCCTCACGTGCCCTGGGTCCCTTCCCTGGGCTCTGCTTCTTGGGCCCAGCTCTCCAGTGCTGACCCTTCTGAGCCCTGAGGGTCCTTTGCTTTCATCCAGGAGCATGGCCTTCTCCAGGAATTGGGTCCACTGATTTCCATTCCCACCTGCAGCAAGTCTCAGAGGCCATCCAGTAGCCACCTTCAAGGTGCCCGGCTGGGGTACAGCGGTCGGCTCTGGGAGGAGACAGCGCAAGCCTTGTCTTACTTGAAGTGTTTCTCACTCTTGTCACTTCCCACGTCTCACGCAGGTCGCCCGGCTCAGGGCCTCTGTACAGTCAGTGCTGGCGGCCCAGAAGACCTGCGAGAAGCTCTATGAGGAGGTGTGTGGCACTGTAGTCCGGTTCAGGTACCGCGCAGAGCATAGCAAGCCCGAGACGCCATCCCTGGAGGCCCTGGCGAGCCAGGTGCAGACGCTGCAGGTGAGTCAGGCGGGAGCTGTGTCACTGCCCAGTGGTACGCAGCAGTGCGTCTGTGCCACACTCAGAGAAGGGCGGAACTGCGTGTTCCCCAGCAGTGGCCAAGAAAGCTTGAAGTTCCAAAGGGAGTCATGTGAACCTTTATCGAACTATATGTTGCATTTTTCATGTCCCTGTTATTTCAGTTTAAGTGTTGGTGTGTGTGTTTGGTTTAAGTGTTTTGCATTTGTTTTTAATTGGCTTGAGGCTGTTTGCTTTGCAGGACTGGGGATTGAACCCAGGGCCATTGAACTAACGTCCACCGCCAGCCTTTTTTGTTTTGAGACAGAATCTTGCCAAGACCCTAAGTTACCTAGGGTGACCTTGAACTTGCAGTCTTCCTGCCTCAGGCTCCCAGAGTGCTAATCACCTGCTTGATTTTGTTTTCAACTTATATTTCAGCTTCAAGGAAGGAAAAAATGCCTTCTCATGTTTTCTCCCCATTCCTGAGAGTTTCTCACCACCCTGTAAAGCCTGAGTGTCTGTTATCTGTGTAGCAGCGACTGCTGAGAAGCTGCTCCCTGAGTTGGAGCTGGCCAGCCCATCTGAAACTGCCCTTCTTGCTCTGATCTTTTAGTGTCTTCAAGATGAAGCTGAGAGCAGTGAGGGGAATTGGGAGAAACTGCAGGAGGTCACCGCCAAACTCAAAGAGTCCTGCCCCTCGGTTGCCGAAATAATCGAAGAGAAATGCCAGCACACTCGTGCAAGGTGCGCTTTCAGATCCACTTGGACTCACAGAGCAGATGATTTGACCTTAGGCCTTGGGAGGTCTGCTTGACGCTCGCAGATGACTGGTTCCTTGTTGCTCTGCTCTCCGCTTTTGCAGTTTGCTGTCGAGAGCGCTAGTCCCTGGCTGAGTAGTGTAGGGGTGATGGTGTAGAAATGCCTTTGTCATGGTGTGGCTCCTACAAGGGGCACCCTCAGCACCAGGGCTGTCTAGGGACACCAGGGTCAGGCACAGAAGCCCGCTAGACATGGTCCAGATGTGCAGTTCACTGGGCTGTTCGTGTTGGAGACATTATAAGGTGGTTAAAAAGCGACTGTTAAGACGCCCCTCGGTGAGGTCTTCTGTGGGACTGGAAGAAGTACTCTGACAGCCGCTTCTTGTGGGTTCTGAAAGCACTTTTGGGGGTGTGGCCCTTGTTCCTTGTGGGCTCTTGTTCTGAGAGGGCTTGAAAGCTGGGGAAGGCTGATTTGCTCCCGGAGTGGCGTTGAGGTTGAGCCACCTGGGGTGTCTCTGTGCAGCCTTCCTCCAGCTGCAGCTCCGGTGAGCACTGAGCCAGGACTGAAGGAGGAACAGCAAGGCCTGTGCCCTGCAGCAGTGTCCTCAGGTCCCATCCCAGTGGTGATTGGCAGGGGAGGTGGCAAGGGAACACAGAGATCCACCTGACTGTGTAAGACCAGGCCACCATCGCAGCACAGGGTGGCCAGGGGCTGCTGAGGGGATTCAGGTCACCGTTGCACATTCGTCAGGACATTCACAGATCACATCGTCAGCTACTTAAAATTCGGTTTTCTTGTTTTTATTAATGAATGGAATCGCGTATATTTTGAAATTAAATGGGAGAAGCAAAAGCTTCTATAGTATATATATGGAGTAAAGCAGCTCCCTTGATTTGTGCTTTTACATAAGGAATATTTTGTTTTTATAATTGTAAAGTAAATTTTATTTGAGCTAAAAACAGTTTAAATGAGACCCATCTAAAGACACTGCCCATCAGGCATGCAATTCAGTGCTTTCTTCTGCTTTGCCTAAGGGACAGTCCTAGATAGTTCCTGCCAATCACAAACTTTGTCATTTTTGCTAAATGTTGTAAGTCAGCTAAATAGCCTAATTTGGATGTCTGTGTAGTGGTATGCTATTAATTTTAGAAAAGCATTTGACAATGTCTTCTTAATAATCCATCCACTATTAACGACCTGGTAGAATGGCATCTTTGCTACAAGAGAAATTGTGGAGTAAAGGTTGGTTGCGTCTTGCTGACAGGTGGACCCAGGTAAACCAAGACCTTGCAGATGAGCTGCAGAGGGCCAGCGGGCTACTCCAGCTCTGGAAGGCCTATCACAGTGCCCATACAGAAGTCACAGCCAAGCTGGAGCAGCAGGAAGCCAAGTTTCAACAGCTTTCAAAAATCAACACATCTGGAAACAACCTGGCAGAGACCCTACCACTGGCCCTGCAGGACATACAGGTGGACACAAAGCCCTTCAGGAAATTCAGACCCAAGCCAGACAGGACCAGGGGATGACAGGCATACCTTGGGATGGGACAGACCCCAGGGTCTGGAGACAGTTGGGAGAAGTCAGTCAGGACAGGTGTCCTGAGTGGGCTGTGTAGGGCAGGGCCAGGTGGTACGTGCCGGGCTGAGAGAAGCAGGTGATAGCTCAGACATCAAGTCTAGGCAGCAGCTGGGTCAGGGGGACCTGACACCGCCTCATTCCAAGCCCGCATTTTCACTGTAGCAGTTATCTGGAAAGAAAAGGCCTCAGTCAGCCTCTGAAAGAAAAGCAAAATTGTCTCATCTGAGTGTACTCATCCAGGAGTATAGCTGTTGAATCTCTTACTTTAGAAATAATCATGGACTTGATGCTATGTTCGTGTGACTTTTCCATAGACTTAATGAATTTTTTTAGACTATATTTAAAAGCAGTAAGTTTCTTCTAGTTTTTCTTGCTATTAAAAAAATACCAAGATATTGAATACTTTTTAGTATTAAATTTGTTGACCAGATTGTCTTTTATACTGTTGGTCAAATTAAAAGAGGGTAACCAGTGTAATTAAAGAGACAAGAATCCAATTGATCTGTATTGTAATCACTGTCCACTTGATCTGTTGTTTAAAAAAAGAAACAGCTAGCTGTTATTTTCAGTACTATTGATTCAACTCAGGGCCTCTGCAGTGAGCTGTAGCTTTTTAATTTTTTTAATTTTTTTTTATTTTATTTTGAGGCAAGATCTCACTAAGTCACTAAGTGACCAGGCTGGACTTAAACTTGGGATCTTCCTGCCTCAGCCTCCCAGAGTGTTGGGGAAAGTAGATCCTTACTGAATTAGATCCAGTAATTAGGAATTTAAACACAGGAGTCCACCTAGGTGGTCTCCTGCCTCTAAACTACAAGCTTCAACTCTATTGAACAGTGGTCCATTTTAGCTCAGAACAGAGAAATTTCATAATAGCATGAGCACTCCGTATCATTTGAAGAAATTGTTTTCACCTGTTTAAAGTAAATGTAGTAAGGGCCGGGGATACACCTCAGCAGCACCGCACCTGCCTGGCAAGCGTGAGTGCTTGAGTTCAATCCCTGGTCCCAAAACATAAAATAAATGTTATAAAAACTGTGTCCCCAAGTTCAGGGCAGAGACTCGCCTAGATGCTGCTGGAGTGGCAGGGTACAGGGAATGGGAATGTGTAAGAAGGAAGCGTTTGGTGACCACTCATTCTTCTGCAGGAGCTGCAGCACCACGTGCAGAAGACCAAAGAAGCCGTGCTCCAGAATTCCACCCTGCTGGAGCGGCTCCCACAGCCTGCGGAGACCAGTGTCCCTGAGCTCCTTTCCGGGCAGCAGCATGCCCTCCAGAGAGCTGCTTATTTGGAAAAGATGCTGCTTATGAAAGCCAGTGAATTCGAGGTTGCTCTTACTTTTCTATCCGAGTGGTGGTCTTGGCTGTGTACACACTACCCAGGTTCTAGGAAGAGACTGCACTGTAGATCTGGCACCTTAGGGAACCTGCAGCGTGAAACTGCCTGAACAGTCAACGTCCCTGCCTCTAGTCACAGGGGTAGTGGGCAGACCTCAAGTCACCGCCATTCTTCAGTAAACACATCGGGTTAAGAAGTGATGTATTTCGTACCCCATCCAGATCTCTATTATTTGGATTGCCAAGTAGGGTAATTGAATCATAGAAATAGCTGCTTGGAGTATGGCCATTTATTGTAGTCTTTATTCACTTTTTGAAAAGCTCAGTGTGGAAGCTGTGAGAAGGCCATGGAGCTCCAATAGCCCAGTATCAGTAGAAAGAAAATTACTTAACTTGCAGCGCGCAGGGAGCACAGTACTTCCCAGCTGTCCTCTGTGTGGTCCTCTCAGCGCATGAGCCATTCATCCAGGGAAGCGTGGAGACCAGCGGGGAGCCTAGGGTCTTCAAATAATCAAGTCTGAATTTTTGAGATAATAGCAAACTGTTGTGGGCCGAACTCTTATCAGACCCCAAGGCTGTTTGTTATATGTGCTTAAGAAAACTGTTTCTAATGAAAGTATCTCTCTTTCTAGTTTGTTCTTTCACAGTTCAAGGAATTTGGAGACCAGCTGGAATCTTTACAGGATCTTATTATACGTGAGGAAGAGAATTTGGATAAACTTTACCAGCTAGAAAAAGAAGAAAATCCTGACTCATTCCTGGTATTGACAATATTTGTCTTTCCAAAAAAAAAAAATTGTCTTTCCAAATCCCCCAAAAGGGATGGGTCTTTTTATTTAGACTCAGCATAACGTTAAAAATAAGCTAATTACTGTTGCACCATCAAATCTGTTTACATCCTTATTAACTCTTGAATACAATCATCTACTTGCTATTTAGTCCTGCCCAAATGTTCTAAGGTCTAGAAAAAGTTGAACCTAGGGGTCTGTTTTAGTAATTAGTCGTAGTAATTGTAGATTTAACTTCAGTGAACCAGAGTAATCCAGGGACAGGCTATTGTGTTTAATTGAATCTGTTTCGTTGGAGATCAAGTATAAAATATTTCCATTAAAATCATGTTATTTTCCCTTTTTTTATGACCTCATTGAGTTCTATGTAGTCAACATAAACAGATGAAAGAATTTAAGAATTATGCATCTTATAATTCCTCAAACGGTTGATCATTGTAACCCAGACCAGAACTCAGCAAATCCCTGCATGCTGTCCAAATCCAAGTTCCCCTCCTGTCACCAGGAATAGTTTTATTTGAACCCAGCTGGGCCCTTCCGTGTACACATTCTTCTGAGTATTTTCTTACTTCAAGGGCAGAGTTGCATTGTTGCTATTGAGACCATACAGCCTATGGAAGCCTAAAATACTCATGACCTGGCCTTTTGCAGCGCTGTTTACTGACCCTGACCAGCCTCTGACAGCAGAGTTCTACCATGATAATGCCAAAATTGCAGAAGATGTTTGTTTAACATATTGTTGACCTCAAGGCTGTCCCTGGAATATCTTTTAAAAATAAAAGTGTGATGTTTTTGCTTTCTTGTGATTTCATGTGCTACCAAGATATGGCTAGAATTTTTCCTTATAGTTTACCAGCCTTTACTAGAGTTATAGTAAGAAGACCTGTGGAAGGTCAAGTTGCTGGCAGACTGTACAGGACTTAAAAGACCAGTACTGATCTCTTTTAAAAGCCTCTGTGGAAGCTTGTAAAGTCTGTTTAGCCCTTTCAACTTCCTGGGCTGCATAGGTGCTGCCAGCTGAGCAGCCTGGTACCCCCAGTCAGATATGGCATCGAGAGCGAAGTTCAGGCCCAGCTGTGTTTGCCGTGGACAAGACATTTACTGTTCATTTACCTGTCCCAGTCTCCCCTCATCCTTGAATATCTTATCAGCATTCAAACATCTGGATTTTTTTTTAATAGAATCATGTGCTGGCGCTGACAGCCCAGGCTCCTGCCATCGAGCGTCTGAATGAAGTCAGCCTCAGGCTCCCGCTCAGTGATGTGGCCGTGAAGACTTTGCAGCAGGTGAACCGGCAGTGGGTCCGGGCCACAGCCACTGCCCTGGACCGCTGCAGGTGGGCGCATCCCTCTCTACCATTGCTTCATCTGACACAAAATGAGCCATACAAGCTCCACAGTGTCTTTATTCCATGGTTCTGTTTTGTCTGTTTTTAAACAGTGAGCTTCAGGGAATTGGACTCAATGAAAAGTTTCTTCGTTACTGTGAAAAGTGGGTCCTCCTGTTGGAGAGGTCAGAAGAGGCGCTCAGAGAGAATGTTGCCAACAGCCTTCCAGCTCTCCGGGAGCAGCAGAAAACACTGGAGGTAAACTGTGCTCCATGCCCCTGGAGCAACTCCCCTGGGGCTGGAGTGAGGGAGCAGTGATGTAAAGGAAACACCAGAACACCCATCAGTCTCTAACGGCAGAACAGGTCTTCAAGCAGACACAGGTACCAATGGTACCAGTGGGTCATTTTTTTAAATGCATCCACATTTCATAAGTTTAAACATTTTGTTCCTCTCTGTTTTGTTAGTAATGGTACTCCTAGATTTTCTGTAGTACATGGAAGCTTCTAGCACAATGCTGCTTCTACACAGTGCAAATATTAGACCACGCACCAAGAGACAGTTAAACTACCGCAACTCAAGTTTGCATTTTCACTGGTTAATTCTCAGTAGTCTATCTCAGGTGCAGTGATATCCAGGTACAGTAGCCTTAAATATCTTACAGTTCCATATATATATATATATATATATATATATATATATATATATATTACTCCCAGAGGCCAGGTGTGGCAGTGCACACCTATAATCCTAGCACTGTGGGAGGCTGGACTGAAGGATTCAAAGTTCTAACCCAGCCAGTCCAAGTTCTAATTCAGTCAGTTAGAAAGAACTGCTTTCAATTGGTTCATTGTAACTTTCTAATGTAACTTATTTAATCACTAAATTAAGATTACCCAATAAAAACAGGCATTTAGGCATAGTTCTTATTAGATCTGCTTGCTTTCAAGACTATGTTCATAGGTGATGGTTGAACTTTTTTTTTTCCTACACTTGTGCTCTAATAATTTAAAAATAAATCACCTCCATATCCCCTGTGAGCTTAGATTTTAAAAGAAATATAAGCTCAAATTCACAGCCTTGAATTTTACTGATATTTTATCTTTTGACTAATACACAGATGTTAGAAGCTGAAGTTTCTATAAGCCAGCCCATTGCTGATTCTTACATTACCCAGTCTTTACAGCTCCTGGACACAACTGAAATAGAGAAGAGGTAAGTCCTGTGGGACCTGGGAAATAAGTGCAATTGGTCAGGGCAGACTTGATGGGTCTTTTTATTTATTCATTTTATACATTTTTATACAGTGAGATAGATCAATAAATATATATAACGTGCTAATCAAATCAAGATAATTCCCCATTTCATCTCCTTAACACTTTAAAGTATATAATAGTACATTATTTAATAGTACATTGGGAGTGATGATCACCCCATTGGGGATTGGAACTTAGTGCTCTTGCCCCACTGACCACACATGACTCAGGATCATACCTGTGCTCTGTAGCACGTTAGCGGATTGACTGCCAAGGCCAAGTTTCTGACTATACATCGGGTCAGAGACTTGCTATGTGTCCATAAATACACTGACAGAACTTTTCCCTAGGCTATGTATATGCAGTCAACAGTGCAGAAGTTTTATAAGATACCCGGAATGCCTTCTGCAGTATGTTTTCCTCTCTGTCCTTGCCCTCATGGTGTCTTATTATTTAAAAATAAATTTTAAAGCACTATTGCACCAGGCAGGAAGCCACATCACCATGTGAACCAAGGGCTCTCTCTGCCGCCATGCCCAGGATATTGGGCCAGTGGGCAGTGCCAGCCACATGGAGCAGGGTCACCACGGCCAATCTATTAACCATTAACAGCCACTCATGCTGCTGACACTTGTGGTGACAGCCCTGAGCCGGCCTGGCCACTTACATATTTGTAAATGTCTTGATAGGTATTGTTTTCCCTCCTCAGCAGCTATGTATCCCAGAATCATCTTCTAGCATAAGTAAGAAATAGAAAGCCCATTCTTCCCAGCTTCAAAGTAGTAAATTCAAACCAGTTCTAGGAGGACAAGCTAGTTTTGATTTGATTTGATCAGTACGATGAGGCATGCCCTCCCCCAAATAAATAAAAGACCTTGTTTCTCATGTGAACAGTGTCACTTACCTGGAAAAGAACTACTAGTGTAGTTACATCAAGCACACCGTGTGGTTAGAAGCGGGTGAAGTATCCTACAATAATCGGTAGCATCTTAGGTACTTGCCTTTCTGTCTGGTCCTTTCTAGATTTCCGTGCAGCACTGGTGTGAGGTGTGTTAAAGCAGCTGGAGTTTGTTTAGGGCAGTGATGCTGTGTGTGCTGACAACGTGCTGCACCTTCCAAAGTGCCCCTAATGTCGAAGTTGAAAAGAGTTCAGATTTTAAGAAATTGCTTGTGAGGCCCACCTGAATTGTATATACAGATAGCAAATTTGGGTCTTTATTCCCTCCAGGTAGGTAGTTTTTTCCTGCACATTCATGCTAAGATTCTCTACACGTCTGTTTTTCCCAGACCAGAATTTGTCTTGGAATTCTCAAAGCTAGTGGACCGGTGGCAGAGCGTGGGCCAGGGCATTTGGCAGAGGAAATGCGAGGTCACCGGGCGGGTGCAGCAGCAGCAGTCCTTCTCCACCGCCACAGAGGACCTGCTCCGCTTCCTCGGGGCCACCAGCCTCCTGCTGTCTGCAGTGAAGGGCCAGGACCGCTATAGCCTCCTGCAGACCAGAGAGCTGACCCAAGAGCTGAAGGTACGGCATGCACAGTGGCACCCTGGGGATGTGCTGGCCAGGGCTGTGTTCTCTGTGATCTCCTAGTCCAGCGTGCTCTGTGCACTGGGAAGGGAGCGCCCCAGCCTGGCCCCTGGCCCGTGACATCATTCACTTCATTGGACAGAGCAAGTCTCCATGGTGTTGAGGAGACGAAGTTTGGGATGGAGTCAGTAGGCAGTGTGTCCCATTAGGTGTGAGGACCCACTTTCTGCTCAAGAGAAACAGCTAAATCTAACATCGCCGTCTGGAGTGCCAGGCCATGCTCGTTCATTTGTCCAGAGACCAGGAAATCATTAAATGCGTGCTCTGTGTGGTAGTCACTGTTTCAGATGCTGGGCACACTGTGTGGACTAGGGGCGAGTCCTACTCCCAGGGCAAACAGGCAGAGCAACAAGAAAATAGCCGCTGGCAATCAGACTGATGCATATGATCCAAACAGGGTCAGGAGGGCACACAGAGCCTTCTGTCGGCATGCCAGCCAAGTGGCCCAGCAGCCACTCATGGGATATTCAGGCTTCATTGTACTATGGACACCGTGCAGTACACAAGTGGGTGTGGGGCTGGAGGTCGAGAGAGACTCAGTCTCTCAAAGGTTCGCCCTCCCTGCCTTAGGTGATCTCTGCAGTTGTGGTGTTGAATGGGGACTCTGATCAGGAGCCAGCCAGGCAAGGGTCTGAGGACAGAGACTTTCAGGCAGAGTGAATGGCTTGCCCAAAGTCCCTGTCTGGGTGCTGGACTCTGTCCTGTTGCTGAGATGTGATACCTGACACCTGTGACTTAGCGGCGGGGTGGTTTATTTTGGTTCAGGGTTTCAGTGCACGATCAGCAGGCTGAGGCAGAAAAAGGCACCCACAGTGGCAAAAGAAAAAGCAGAGAGAGAAGGGACGACAAGAATGCACACTGCTCACAGCGTGTCTGGCTCCTGACCACGTCAGTGGGTGAACCCACCTGCAAGGACAGCAGCCCCCGTCACCTTCCACACACATGAGGGTTTGAGAGGATGTTTGAGATCTGAACAGATCTGCCCATTATGCTTTAGATCTGAAACATAAGCCCAAAGCCCAGCTGTATTTTATTGTTTTGAGTTTGTTCACTCCTCTTTCAGATTATTGTCGCATTCTGTGCACACTCGACTCTTCTGGGTTACCATGGTAATAGCCAGCGTAAATGGTCCTCTCAGATCTGCTACACTAATCTTTTCCCTAATACTCTTAGATCTTGAAGGCTTTTGTTCTACAGAGTGTATGTTTTAATTTCCCTGAACGTTCAGTCGTTGCACCAAAATTCATCTCATAGGAATCGTTGGAAATTATTCTAAGAGCATCTAATTTGGTAGTAGCCTGTGCTCCGGATAAGCATGGGCTATCGGCATGAATGAGTGCGCCTGTATACATTACAATCAGATTTGTTAATTTATATCTAATATAACACCTAAGTAAGAAAGGCTCCGAGGGAAATTTACACAAGCACACAGTCACATTTTTATCACATCAGAGGTTTAAACAAACTGCTTTCTCTTTCCAGAACAAAGAAATCCACTTTCAGAGACAGCAGACTACCTATGCACTGGCCGTGGAAGTAGGGGAGAAGCTACTAAACACACTTGACCAGGAAACACAAGAGTCAGTTGACAGGAGAATTAGTCAGCTTCGGGACAGCTGGGACGACACAAAGCGGCAGCTGGGATTGCTGCTTAAACAGCTCCAGAGCACTGGAGAGGTAAACCACCATACTGTTTCCCTTTTGAATCTACATTTAAATCTAGTACACAGGGTTTTCGTTTGTATCAGAACTCAGGTCCTACTAATCCATGAGCCATGCCTGCTACTTAATAAAGTAATATAGCACTGAAAAAGCGCAGTGCTACTGTGCCTGGTGGCGTACGCCTGTAATCCTAGCACTAGAGGGGGAATCAGTTGAGCCAAGTGGATTGCTGTGAGTTTGAGGCCAGCCTGGTCTATAAAATGAGTTCAAGGTCAGCCTGAACTGCATAGTGAAACCTGTCTCAAAAAGACAAAACAAACGAAAACAGAAAAAACACAGTGATAAACATGTAATTAATTACCTGAGATACTGTTAAGATACTTCCTTTTAGCCTGGTGTAATGGTACTCTCTTTAGTCCCTGCACTCTAGGAGGCTGAGGCAGGAGGATTTTAAGTTTAGGTCCTGTCTGGATAATCTAGCAACATAGAACCTGTCTCAAAATACAATGTAGCTCAGTACAAAGGCCCCGAGTTTAATTCCCAATACCCTCCCCCACCAAAAAAAGGAGATAATGCACAAAGCTGACATTCCACATCTGGTCCATCCTGGTGTATAATGTATGACAACAGCTCTCTGATACAGACTTTTTTTGTCTTATCATCAGAGGATACAGAATAAGTCAGTTTCCCAGATACCTTCTGACATTCTGTTCTGAGGAACAGAATGTACTCTTAGAAATAAAGTCACCCAAGGCTGGGGATTTAGCTCAGCGGCATAAGCACCTGCCTTGCAGGTGTGTGGTCGTGAGTTCAATCCCCGGTACCAATAATAAAGAAAAGGACAAAAAAAAAAAAAAAGTCACCCTAGTGAAAGTCACGTTCTGACTATATATTAAGAACTTCAAATGTTTTATTTCGAGTCATTAGTAGGAAAAATCATCATTCTGCCAAAATACCACACTGTTGAACTTATGACCTGACTCTACAATGCTTTTTGAGTTCTGGTGAGTTTTTACATTTTTTCCTCAGCTTGGTAAGAAGCTGGCTATCTTCACTTTTTGTTGCTTTCAACTAATGTACCCTCAGAGCACCCCCTCCTTTCTGACCTGTGGTGTATACCGATACCAGATAACCAGGCTTCTGGGCATGCTTTTACAAATTAAGATAAATGGACACCGAGTTGGGGCCTGGGCCTCTCTTCTGTGAATCAGCTATCTGAATTTTATTTGATGTATAGACCACATGAAATTCATCAACTGGCAAGCACTGCTCGAGCATGCCATGTTTGTAAAGTAAATCAGACAGTGCAAAGAAAAGCTTGGTGGGCGAGATCAGGGCTCGGCGTGGTTTCTGTCTCTGCTTCTTATTGAGTTCCACATAGTTGATACCACTAGACAAGTAGCCTCTCCTGAAGTGGGGTGTTACCCTAGATGTGGGCCACCCCAGTTTAGGTATCAGAAGTGCTGAGGAGGGCTGGGGTTGTAGTTCAGCGGTTTAAGCATCTATCTGGCAAGCACAAAGTCCAGAGTTCAATTCCTAGTACCAGGGGGGGGGGGAAACCAAAAGACAGAAAAAAGTGCTGAGGAACAGAATATAATCTTAGAAATAAAGTCACCCTAGTGAATCAACCACAAACACTCTGAACTTGAAAGTACAGGCGCCCCTTTTGCCTTGTAGTGTAAGGTGTGAGGAGAGGTTGCTGACATTTATCTAGGCTTTTAATATCCCGCCAGTAGGCAGTCAGGATGCTCTGCGCCTTTTGGCTCTTAGGCTTTTCTCTTTGGGGGAGACTCTGAGGGCTGAACCCCAGGACCTTTGGTCCTCAGCCCTTTTTAAATTTTCTTTCATTGTTTTGTTTTGTTTTATATCTTATCTGAGGACTGAACTCAGGGCCTTACTCCTGCGAAGGCAAGTTCTCTACCACTGAACCATGTCCCCCGTGCTTATTTTTTATTTTGAGACAGGATCTTGCTAACTCACTGAGCTACCCAGGCTGAACTGAAATGTGCAATCCTCCTGCCTTAGCTTCCCAGAGTACTAGCTCACAGTGTATCTTAAATAGAAAGTGGCAGGCAGGACAGTGGGGAAGATCAGGACAGTCACTGAACCCAAGAGAGAGAGCCAGCAGGGAGGTGACATGAGAAGAAAAGGCAGGAGAGTATCTGAATGCTTGTCCTGGATGGTGATGTGGAAGCATACGCCTTCCGACCCCCCGCGCTGCCCCCTGAAATGCTTCATAGCTTATACCTAAGACTGCAGATGCTGAAAGTTAATCCTTTTAGGTGGGAACTCTCCCATGCTCAAGTAGAAGGAAGGTTAGATTGATGAGAGATGAAGAGACATTTTCAAGTGAATCCAGTGCATTGATGGGAAAGGGGCCAGAGGTAAAGCTGGAAAGACGCATGGAGCCGTCGCTGATGTCCCTCTGCTGTTTCTGTCACCCTGTGCAAGAGCAGGAGCTGGGTTCCGTGTGGTTTACAGAAATACGTGTACAAGAAAGACTGTGTGTTAAATGAGCTATTCTGCTTCTGTAGTTCATCCTTAAGAGCCAAGTCTTTACCATTGCTAATGTGTTTTCCAACAGACCTGGGACCAGTGTGAAAGAAAAATCAAGGAGTTGAAAAGCAGGCTGCAAGTTCTAAAAGCACAAAGTAAAAATCCTCTTCCAGAGCTTCATGAGGACCTCCAGAAAGAAAAAGAGCTGATTAAGGTACTGAAGCCCGAACCTGCAGGCAGGATAATCACCGAGCTGTTTGTTTGCTTGCTTGTCTTTTTCTGTGTTGAAGCTGAGTTTTCATGTTCAACTGGAAAAGACTTTCTTGACATCTGTCTAACATCACATCCTGATCTCCTAACATACCAGGATTCATGCTTTGTGCAGTCCTTGTATGACAACAAGAACATCTTTTGCAGAAATTCACTTGTTAGGATCTTGGAATTTTTCTCCTTCAGGTCTTCTCTGTATCTGCTGCTTCTCTTCTCTGAGATTGCTTTAAAAGCTCTTCCCCCTTAAATTATCTCGTCTTTACAGCAAGAATAAGGTATGATTCACTTTTAAAACCAGTAGATTGATTTTTTTTTTTTTTTTTTTTGCTCAAGTATAGTATAGTTTTTATAAAAGCTTCCAGGCCATAGCCGACCTCTCCGGTACACACAGCCAACATTCCTAGACACTCGAGGCTTGGCAGCAGGCAAGACAAACTTGTAGATACAAATTTGGACAGCAAAACTTCCAACTCAGGAACTCCCTGCATCTCCTTCTTGTCTACACACGTTTAAAAGACATCAAAGCCTATCGAGATGTTCTTTTAATTTTTTTTCTTCCTTCAGTAACTTTAGGAATCCAATTGAAAAACCAAGGGAGAGATGAGTAGTCTTATACTTAAAGCTATCAGAGATTAGGGTTCTTCCCCTGATGTTTTGTTTTGTTTTGTTTCTGTTCTGTAAAAATATCTGTGTTAAAAAAACATAACATAACAAAACAGCTATCACCAGCTAAGGGAATAAAACATTAGGAATCCGTTCAAGGGTCCCGTTTAATCTGCAGTGCCCTTCCCAGAATGTCCATACCCCTGACTCTAGGATTTATCATTCTCTGTGTTTCTTTATAGTTTGAATACACCATTATGTGTAGTGTTTACGTAATATGGAAATACTGCTTTCTGGCTTTCGGCTTTGTATAAGCAGCACCATGCTGCATGGCACACCTAATGCAACTTATTTCTTAGATTTTGAGTCTCCAGTGTTGACACCTATAGCTCCTTCACTGTTGTTGCTGGATACAGAACACCTTATGGAGTTCCTCTTCAATCACTTGGTGCTTTCAGAGTTTCTTTTAAGACATTTGCTGGTGTGGTAAGGGTGAGATTATCTCTCTTTTCGTTTACTAGTCAACTGAACATTTGTTATGTTTTCTATTCCTTCAAATCTGCCCTTTTGTGAATTGCCCGTTTATATTTTAACTTTTTATATGCTTCTGTTTGTCCTCTTCTTATTGATTTAAAAAGTTGTTTACTTACTCTATCACTCTGTCGAGTATATATGTTGGAAATGTCTCATCCCTCAGAGGACTTGTTTTTCTGCTGTGTGTGCTACTGACTGAGCAAGAGACTGTGTTATTTTAGTGAAGGTGCATTTATTAGTATTTTCCTAGACAACTTGCGTTCTCTCTTTCTTTGGAAAACCTCCATACTTAAGCTATAAAATATAATCTTATATTTCCTTCTGAAAGTTTTCAAGTTTTGCTTTTTACATTTACCTCTTTATTTGTCAAAAAATTAAATTACATTCGTGTAGATTTCCAATTATCTTGGTGTCCATCTGTATTTATTGAATAATCCAAGGTCAAATACCAAGTTTACGTACATGTAGAGTCTCTCAGTTTTCCACGCCCGTTTCCTTGGTTCATTTCTGCAGCTTTAAAATCTGTTTTGACTACTGTGCTGTATTATAATGAGCCTTCTTTTAACAGGTGATGTGTACTCATATTTATATAGATGTCCTTGGGTCTTGTGCTGGCTTGCCTGCTTTCCTGCCTTCCTTCCTTCCTATCTTCCTTCTTTTTCTCCTTTCCTCCTTCCTTCCTTCTCTCCAAATTCTGGACCTTTCAAATGCTAGGCACGTGCTCTATCACTAAGCTTATACCTCAGCCATTTCATAACTGTTTTATTTTATTTTTTTGAAACAGGGTATTATTATGTAGTTCAGACTGGCCTTGAACTCACTGGGTGGCTTCAGGCTGACCTTGAACTCATGGTGATCCTCCTCCCTCAGCCTCCCAAGTGCTGGGATTATACCTTTCATAATTTTCAGAAACAGCTTGTCTAACTATGTAAAGTCCTGATAAGAGTTTAATGGAATTGCTTTGAATTTATAGATTACTTTAAGACAAATTAATATCTTTTTGACTTTACAATTCCTATTCATGAATATGGCGTATTTCTCCTTTTGATCATATTTAATGATTTTTTGGTAATGTTCTATAATTTTCTTTATATGGTCTTATAGGTTTTGTTAGATGCAGTTCTTGGTATGTTATTTTTTGCTATTGAAAGTATACTGCAAAAGCCAGGTGGATGGTGCATACTTGTAATCTTAGGTGTAAAGCTGAGGCAAGAAGATCAAGAGTTCAAGGACAGCCTAGGCAACTTAGCAAGACACTGTCTCAAAAAATAAAAAGAGCTGGGCACACAGCTCAGTAATAGTGCACCCGTAGATTTGATTCCCAGCACCACCAAAGTAAAAGTTCTCAAAGTTCTCCTTTTCTCTGTTGTCTGACTGGATGCTGGGGGGCGGGGGTGTTGCAGTGGTGTAGAAATGCAATTTTTATATATTAAATCCTATATTCAATCCTATATTCAATCAACTTGTTCAATTCTCTTGTTAATTCCAATAATAATTCCAATAATTTCTTTGTATATTCTTTTGGTTGTCTGTAAGAACACTTGTCACCTATGAACAGTTTTTGTGTGCTTAGTATTGGGAATTGAACCCAGGGTCTCAGTGCTAAGCAAGTGCTTTACTACTGAGCTACATCCCCAGCTCCTTTCTTTTAATTTTTATATTGTTTTTGTTTTCTTCTTATACCAAGCAATGCTCTAGACCAGTGGTGCAGAGCTCTAGCACACGTGCTGCTGTGGGCTGTTTGTGTCATTGAAGGCCCTAAAAGGTTCATCCGTGCTACTCTAGAACGTTGAATAGAAGCAGTATTTGGTTGCTTTACATGTTATTCCTGACTTTAAGGAAAATCACTGAGACAGTGTCTCACTTACAGTGCAGGCTGGCCTTAATCAAGGTGATCCCCCTCCCTCTGCCTCCTGTGCTAGGATTACAGGTGTGCATCACCACACCCTGCTAAGAAAATGATATTAACATTTCGTAATTAAATATGGTACTTGCTGATAATATGTTAGTGATTTTGTTAAGAAGGTCCTTGGCCAGCCCTGATTTTTCAAAGTTCTATGTTTTTGTTTGATTCTGCTTTTTTGATGAAGTTTGAGCCTTTATGTTACAGTCACCTTCTAAAAACCTACCAGCTGGCAGCCAAACTTCCTAACATGTAACTCGGGGCATTATTTTAGATCTCAGCCATACAGCTGTGGAGCATGCTAGGCTAGTAACTTACTATGCAAACTCAAAGAACTGCTTTTCATTTCTCATATTCAACTTGCCCCAAAATATGTAAAATTCAAAGTGAGAAGTATGTAGAAAAAGAGATATAGTCTTTCCCTTGAGGATACAGTTTAGCAGCATTTATTTAAAAAATCATAGAATTGTCCATATTGAAAAGTCCTCCACGGTGGGCTGCGGATACAGCTCAGTGGTAGAACGCTCTTCCGAGTGCAAGGCCTCGGGTTGCCGCCTCATGCAGTGCCACCAAAAAACAGCCCTACACCTTTCTCTTGCCATCGGCCATAGAGTCCTGGATGGGTTTCTAGGTTCTTGTGCCTGAGGAATGCAGAATTGGACTTGGCACACTATGATAAGGAAAAACCTGCTGTTTTAATGAGCAGATGGTGGAAAGCATTGAATGTGTTAGGTTTGAGGTCGGGGGTTGGCCATGGGGCACTGCCCAGGTTCAGGTGAGGGAGGTGGGGTGGTCCCATAGCCGCAGTGATACTACCTGTATTATTTCCATTGTAAATATTGCAAGCATTGATTCAAACCTGGCTGTGGATAGTAGAAAGCATGAGCAAACTGTGCAAGCATCACAGCCAGCACCTCCGAGCAGGGCCTGGAACAGGCGGTGCTTCCTGGCACACAGCTGAAATGCTGATACCTGTTTGCCCATTGTCCCCTTCAGGTTACGCGGCCATTCATCATTTTGGAATCCGTTGTCATGCACTGTAATGGAATCATAAGTCTAAAAGGAATCATGAGTCTAAAACTGGATGACAGAGTTTAAAGTGGATATCTTTCTCTGAGAAAAATGTCACATTTTAATCTCCATGCAACCTTTTTAAAAAGAATTCTCTAGACCATTTCATTAAACACAGATTCTTGTTGGCAAGTTATGAAATCATGCCATTGTAGCCTTTAGGACCCTAATAAAACTCAATCGGAATTAACTGTTTATGTGGCTCCTCTTCAGACGGATTTCTAGTGTAAATGACTTATCTTCTTTCACGTTTCAGCTGGAAGGTAGGACTATTTGGAAACCCTTAAGTGCAGCAGATGAAGAATTATAAACAATAAAACCCAAAAGGCTTTTGAGTGGTTAGGCTGTTTCCTTTTAGCATCTCTCTGGCAAAGTAATTTTCTTGAATAAATCCTAGAACTGAGAGTTATAATTTGAAAACCACTTCATTTTAAAAGATAGATGGGGCTGATCCAGCTCAGTGGTAGAGCACTTGCCTGGCATGCAGGAGGCCCTGGGCAAAAACAAAGAATAAATAAAAGATGTTTCCTCGCCAGAGAAATTACTTTTCTGCCATTATATTCATTTGTCTTTAGAAAGTTCGCTGAACGTAATCTCCCTTAAACAGCAGTTGTGGTCACAGTCCCAGCCTGCATTTCTTAGGTATTCTTACTTTGTACAATGCAAAGCATATGTGGATTGTTGTTAGACTCCAGATGCACTGCACTCTGCATGACTTTGCAAAGCATGGATTCTGTGAGAACCAGACCTACCTGAGGAAGGAACCAAGGTGGCCAAGCGCCCCACTGAGAAGAAAGTGGCGGCAGGCCAGCACCCAGTGGGCCGCGGCGGCGGCTGCTTCTCATTCCCGAGGTCCCTCCCCTTCCCGGCCTCCCCTCCCCCAGGGCTAATCAAAGCCTGAGCCTACAGGTTTGGAAACAGCAGCAGCTCAAGTTAAGCCTTTCTCTCCCCCCACCGCCCTTGTGTTTGGGTGCAGGACCTGGAGAAGTCTTTGGCTAACTGGAGTCAGAACTTGAAAGAACTTCACACCATGAAGGCTGACCTTGCCGCGCACGTCCTGGCCGAGGACACGATGGCTCTGAAGGAGCAGATTGAGCACTTGCACAGACAATGGGAGGACCTCTGCCTCAGAGTAAGTCGGCCAGCTGCAGGGCACAGTGGCTGGGAGGCGACTGAAAAGTCCCCAAGGCCAGGAGTTTCCTTTGGGCAGCAGCAGAGTCGAACAGATGTGAGCCTTTTGTTTCAACAGCACTAAATGTGAGAACTTTGTACACTTTCCAGGGGCTTTTCGAAACTCGCCCTGAGCAGGGAGAAAAATCACAGTGGAGAGCAGATGCTGGGATTTTGCCCTCTGACTTGCATAAGTGACAGAGAGGGCAGGTATTTTAGAGGAGCTCCCAGCCCAGCCTCCCTAGGCGTCCCAGAGCCCGGCGGGGCATGCTCCAGGCTTTATCTCCAGAGGTTGCTTCTAAAACTCTCCCAGTCATGAGTGAAGGCTGTGCTGAGTATCTGGGCCATCGGGTCTTACGCAGAATGGAATTGGGACGAGAGTATTACACGGTTTATATATGTGACAGGCTCAGGATGGGATTAAAGGATTCAAGCAGTCTTTATAAAGATCTTTGTTTTAAGAACATATACTTCTAAAGAATAAATTCCTTAATCTCATTTTTCGTGAAAAAAAGTGTTTAAAATGCTGAAGTCTAGACACTTAGACAGTTGAAGTAAAAACACCTTTCAAGAATTTAATTGATTTGAGAGTGTAGTCATCACAGTGTACCCTAATTTTAAGTGTTCTTTAAAAACAGAAGTTTTTTTATTCAAGTTTTCGTGAAAGAAAATGTTTAGTGCATGTGAAAAATATTTCTGAAGTTAGGTAGGAGCAGAGTGGAGACCATATGCTCCTAATTGTTACCATTCTGAAATCAATCACAAGGGGCCCCTGCACAATGCCAGGAATTTGAAAGCTAAGGTAAATAGATGCCCTGGAGAACAGAAACAAAAACTTGTTTTCTTAGAGATAGATTTTCAAACCTTTTAAACCCCTTTGGCTGGGAAGCTTGTACAAGCACTTGGTATTTTTTGTCTTACTCTGAAAAAAGAAGTTCTTTTGGAGTTTCGTTTTGTTTTTGTACATAGCAAGAAAATCCCAAGGGTTTAAAAGCTTGCTTTCCCCTCTTACAAAGTAAGGTATTTGGTCCAGGTGTGTCGCTCAGTGGTACAGCTCTGCATTTGCCTTGAATGTGCAAGGCTGAGTTCAATCTCCTGCACTGGAAAATAATAATAAAGAACGGTATTAAAACTTCACTGGAAGAACTCTTTAGATTTTAAGTTTTCAAGACCTGAGGATACCTTTATACATTTAGTAAGACTGATCTGCATTATTCAAACTTATTTTTGTAATATATTTCAACTCTAAAGGGAGGAGGGCCCTCATGCATAATGGAACATCAGGTTTGGGATCATCAGCTTATTTGGCCTGCAGTTTTTTATGACAGTTCATGATTTCCACTCAAAAATACAGAGTATAATGGGCAGATTAACTGAGCAGTCTGCATTGCTTATAGTCTTGCTTTATTTTGCTTCAAATCAAATATTCAAATGAGTTTTATTTCCTTGGTGCATTTACATTATAGATTCTTAATTTATTTTGTGATATGGATTATAGTTTTAAAATTAGATAGATAAATTGCCCTTATGTAAGTGTATAATGTTTTTTGATCATTTTTTAAAAGGATTTAGGCCATGACATTATAAATTAGCATATAGCAAGCAGTCAATAAATGCATATTGATAGAATAAGAAACAAGAAATTTGGGTGATATATATTTATCAAGTCTTTCTTATTTCTGATTTTTAATGTGACCTGATAGTAGTGGATGCACACTGGGTAAAAGTAAGGAACAATACACAAGTTTTTATGGCTGTTACCAGTTGGCTAACACTGTCTGTTTATGTTAAGCTCTAGGTTTTGTTTTGCTTTTTTGGTACTGGGGATCAAACTTATGACCTCATGCTTGCCAGGCAGGCTCTTATGCTACTGAGCTAAGTCCCTGGCCTTAAGCTCTAGGTTTTAAGAGGAAAAAACATAAAAGATTTGATTCTGTAGTGATGTTGATCAGAAGGAGACGCCCACCCGTCGGGTCCTTTGAATGAGGGAAAAAGGAGGTGCTCCCTTCCTGCCCCCTCAGCAGCAAGTGTTTTAACACAGGTGGCCGCCCGCAAACAGGAGATCGAGGACAGACTCAGCTCATGGATTGTGTTCAATGAAAAGAATAAAGAGCTGTGCGCGTGGCTGGTGCAGATGGAAAACAAAGTTCTGCAGACAGCAGATATTAGCATTGAAGAAATGATTGAGAAGTTACAGAAGGTAAGGGGGGGTGTCCTGGTGGATGTGGTTATGGGGAGTGTGAATTTCCACTCCTTGGTGCCAGGCTCAAAAAGGGATAATGTCACAGGTATCTCCAGTAACACCTAGGCAATGTGAAGGTACCTTCTCACTATCTTTGCTCCTGCCAGTGGAAAAGTTGGAAAAGAGAAGATTCTGGAGCCGTGAAAGTGTGGGCTAAAGTGGGGACCCCAGCCCTAAGGAGAGCTCCTTTCCCCAGAAGTCAGTCTGGCACGGAAGGGCTCCCGTCTCCTGATGCGCCTTCCATACCCCACGCCAGTGGTGCTCACCATTAGGGGGAACCCAGGCCAGTCGGAAAGGCCAACAGCAATGGGGTCCTGACTTTGTGGGGCCACTGATGCCCACAGGGAAAGGTGATGAATGTTTCTCCTTAGCGCCCCAGCAACCCTCAGCCAAGCCTAAGGAAACTGCCTGATGGCAGGCTGCCTTTTGTTGGGTTCCCTCAGCGCCCAAGTAGGTGAGAAGATGCCTGTGAGGGGAAGCAGAGGGACTGTCCAGTTAAAAAGGATCCTGCCTTGCGCCCTTCACATCTCCCTAGCAGGCATCGCTGGACTTTCTAGTTACTCATTGAAGAAGTAACAAGTAGAGGAGTTTTTTAAATTTAAAAAAGAAAAAGAGGTATCTGTGTGTTTGTGGCTGGAGAAGAAATGAATTTAGAATAATAATTTGGGCGTATATTTGGGTGCCTTGACTAGGACTGCATGGAGGAAATAAACTTGTTCAGTGAAAACAAGTTACAGTTCAAGCAAATGGGTGACCAGTTAATCAAGGCCAGCAACACAGCAAGAGCGGCTGAGATCAATGACAAGCTCCACAAAATCAATGATCGTTGGCAACATCTTTTCGATGTCATTGGATCCAGGTAAGAAATGACCTAACAGTGATTCCCATTCCTCGCACTCAGTGGTGAGTTACTTCACATGGAATTGAGCCCTGTCTTACTCAGTCTTAATCTGAGACAGTGGTGCGAAGCCATGGCACACGTGCTGCAGCAGGCTATTGGTATCCTTGAGAGCTCTAAAAGATTTGCCCTCGTTGCTCTAAGGTAACTTACAGATTGGGCTGGAGCTGTGTGGCCCAGGGGTGAGTGCTTGCCAACCATGTGCAGTGCCCTGGGCTCCAGCCCCAGCGTGGGGAAAAAAAATTACAGATTCAAGTTGTTAGAAATGAGTAGAAATTGAGTTCAATATTAAAGGGAAATTATTGTATCTTTCAGTAGAGTTTCATATGAAATTGTTTTATTTTTTTCCTGATGCTAAATATTGAACCCAGAGCTGAATGCTTGTTGGGCAAGTGCTCTACCACTGAGCTATATTCCCAGCCCTGTTTTTGTGGTTATTGTTTGAGATGGAATCTCACTTGGTGCCTTAGGCTAGTTTCAAACTCCTGGGGACAAGCATTCCTCTGGCCTCAGCCTCCCAGGCAGCTGGGGCCACAGCTGTGTGCTACCTCGCCTAGCTAGATGAGTTTTAAATGGAAAATGGTAACTTACACTGGCCCAGCCAGAGTCCTACCTAGGCAAGCTTGGATTTCATGAACACACACAGAATCTAGAACACACAGGAGAACCTGGGAGCTGCATGAAGCATGGGGAGTGATGAAAATAAGACACTGTTAATAATGTGGCATTTCCTGTTCCGCTCCATTCACCGGAAACCATAAGTAAACCTGACTCATTCAGCGGAGGTCACAGGCTCAGTAGTCTGAGAATTACTGGAGGAAATAACATGAGTGAGTTACCTTGATGGTGGCGGGGAGCTGAGCAGATGTAAAGCCAAGTGCTGGTCACCCTCCTCCTGGGCGGGGTGACGGTGAGGAGCAGAGCTCGCCCCGGGCTGCAGTCACAGGTGGCCTTATGAAGGGTGGGGCTGTTGTAGGTTGCTGGGGACATGAAGGAGACAGATTGTAAGCAAACAGGCACAGGCAGGAGCACGGGGAGGCCACCTGGAAATAACAGGAAGCCCTCGGCTCAGGTGTAGCTGTGCATCTGGAATGATTGCTTGGGATTAAATCTTAAGAGTCTGAGTCTGCAGTAGTCTAAGTGGAGGCAGATACCAAGGTGACTGGTCAGTAACCTAGGCTGGCTGAGTTCAGCCTGCTTCCACTCCCTGTTGAAAAATAAACCACAGGGGCCTCCTTAACGGTGACTAAACACAACCCTGTCACCTATTCGCCAGGAAAGCTGGCTGCCTGATTTCACATTTCTAAATCTCAGTCTCCAAATCTGCAAAACATACCCAATGGCACAGTTTCCCGCAGACCCCTGCTTGCCATGTGGATGAAGGACAGTCGCCCACTCTGCTTACATCCAGCTCCTGCGGCCGTGCCTGGTAGTGAGAGTCTTCCTGCCGTGAGGCCAGGGATGGGACTGTCTCCTTGCTGAGGCTGACAGTCATGTCCAGACAGTTGTTGAAATGAATGGAGGTTTCGTGCATAGAATAAGATGGTTTCCATCGGGTGGATTGTGGCCTTGCCGCCAGCATCTTTCGGTCCTTAGTGGCAGTAGGAGCCGAGGGTATGGACCCTTCAGGAACAATCTTGGGTTTACGCTTCCGAAAAGACTGCGCGTCCCTTCCTGTCCATCCGGTTAGGTCACCTTGGAGGTCCTCGGGCTGTTTGCATCCTGCCTGCCTCTGTGGTGCCTGTCTTCATCCAGGTCCTTAGTGAGAAAGAGATAAAACAGAAGGTAAATTTTATCAGGTTTTGTTTGTTTTTGGAAACACAATAGACAAAATAAGGAGTTAAAATAATAGCAAATTTATTGACTTCCAGCTGCATTCTTAGTATGTTTTTTATGTATGAATGCTCTTAAGCTATAAATGTAATATAATTCTGAAAGGTAAATACCAGTGTCCTATTTTACAGATAAGGAAACAGAGGTCTCAAATTATGTAATAAGCCCATGGTTACGTAGCCAACTTGCAATGCAAGCAGAATTTCAACTCAGGCAGCTGTGTGGGCCTCCCAGCCACCCATTCTATCTAATTTGAGAGACTGGAATGTAGTGAGAATCTAAGCCCTTCAGCACCAGAGGATGCGAAGGACAGGGTCAGCAGAGGCAGCTGGCGGGAAGCCTAAGGAGCTCTTAGCTGCACAGACCTGCAGGTAAGCATGCAGGGAGAGGCAGCAAGCTTGCACCTGGCCTAGCTGGCCTCCTGGACAATCAGCTCCTCATCTGCTCCCCACACTGGCTTAATCTGGCACTGCACAGAGGCACTGCCATGGGGGGAGGGAAGGGCCATAGGCTGCCCAGCACCTGCCCCACTGATGCCCTCATTTGCCCACAGGATTCTGGGTGCTCTGGGCATTCTGCTGCTCCACTCCGTGGCCGGGGCAGCCTCTGTTGTTCACCATGAGAAGTCAGATTGCAGGGAGGTTTTCCCTGGAAGCCTTTGGGATGTGTTCAGAAGAACCTCACCAAACCGGGTTTATTTCACTAGAGGAAAAAATGAAAAACAGCTCATTTCAAGCATATTTTTATAAAATATTGAGGATAGGGTTCCTTAAAACACAGCAAACTTCTGCCCATTTCCTTTAGATAGTGAGTAGGGAAGGACCCCAAGGCTGTTTCTTTTTTCTTTTCTTTTTATCGCTACATTTTAGATATACATAATGATGACATTCATCATAGGGAAGTCTGTACGAGGTATATCTTGATTCTTCTTTTTTTCCCAATTCCCTCCATCCCACCCCTTGCCCTGATTTTTTACAAAAGCTTTGTTTCCAGTGTTTCCTTTTATCATCATTATTCTTCTTCCTGGTCCCCCCCCCCATTGTTCCCTTTTCTTTTGAACACTTTCTTCCCATTTCCTAATATGTTATGCATTTTGATCCTTATTTACACTTTGGGTTTCTCACACCACAGAAACAATGTGATATTTAAACGAGTGTCTGATTTATTTCACATAAGAGTATGGTCTCGAGGTGTATCCATTTACCTAGAGATGTCTCAAGCTTTTCCTTCTGTATCGCAGAGCAGTACCCCATTGTATTAAAAACCACTTCTTCATTCATTGTTTGATGGACATTTTGCTGTTTCCAAGATTTAGCTGTTACAAACTGTACTGCTATAAACATGGGTGTATGCATATGTTGCTGTGGTATAATGCTTTTAATTCTTTTAGGAAAATGCAAGAAGGGAAATAGCTGAGTAAAATGGAGTCTGTAATTTCAGTTTTTTGAGAAGCCTCCACACTGCTTTCCACAGTGGTTCCACCAGTCTGTGCTCCCACTTAGAGAAGGGCTCATTTTTCATGACTGTTTATTCTTAACTGCTAGGCATCTCTTTTCTGTTATTGTATCTCAGCCTTTGACATAGGTCAGTAAGGTCAGTAGCAGCCTTCATTTTAACAAGGAAGTTCAACTCAAAAGGTGAATAATTTGGCAGTCTAAATTTTCTTTTTTTTTTTTTTTTTTTTTTTTTGTCTTTTTCCTTTTTATCGGTACCGGGGATCGAACTCATGACTGCCTGCTTGCAAGGCAGGCGCTTATGCTGCTGAGCTAAATCCCCAGCCCCGGCAGTCTAAATTTTCTCACAACAGGAATGGGAGCCAACGTCTGTTTGTCTCCACATGGAGACAAACTGGGCTTGGAGAGCAGCTGGGCTCCTGGGTGCTGTGGCTTTTAAAAGTAATTGATCAGAGTGTTGCTGAATCCTAGTTTAATGTCAGTGCTGTGTAACGGAAACCGCTTCTCCCATCTAACACCCGCAGCAGAAACTCTCAGCCCCCCAGCCTCTGATGGGACCGAGAACATGTTTCTAGCAAGCACTTCAGTATCCTTGGTGGGGGAAGCATGGTTTGAGAACCACTACGGTGGCACAGACAGAGTGAGGTCAGTCACACTGAGAGTGAGAAATCTGGCCTCTGAAGCCCAGTTTGTGTGATAAGTGGCACATGCCCTGTTCCCTCGCTGGCGGGCTGGTCATGAAGGCTGAAGTAGTGAATGAGAAGGCGCCAGGGAGACCATGGGTCCCTCACACACCTGTGCCATCAGTTGAGTGTAGCTACTGACAACCATCAGTGGGAGGGAACAGTGGCTTAGCTCTGGGCCATGAAGTGTTCTGCTTGTCTGAAATCCTTAAAACAAAGAACCTGAAGGATAGGTCTCCTGAAGTACCCTTACTGGGAGGGAGGAATTAGTCCGAATCACGTAAGATTACATAGGCCGGTGTGGACATTAAAATTTACCTAACTGGCTCATACAAGCTCTAGCAGTTACTGCAGGTTCTTGGGTACCTTATACTTGTGACCTCCGAACTCTGAAAAATCACATCAGCAATTTTATCAACAGAGGCACTGAAAAGCACTATATATTCTTTTTGGTTGTGGTGCAGGTGTCCGACTTCAGGACAAGAAATACTCATTATATTATATACTGTTATGCCCACTCGACACATTACATGAAGAATTAAACTTTTTTAAGCACTGTAGTTATTAGCTCCTCCTCAGCCTCATGTTTTCTTACATATTATCTTTGAAAAGTCACTCAGCAAAAGCTGAATCAGAAGGGACAGGGAGTTGTTTTTCAGCCACCAGCAATCCATTTGATCCTGTGTCTCGGATGAACCAGGTTCCCGGAACAGGTGCGGTACAAAATATCAGCTGACAAAGACACAAAGTGAATGTGCTTCAGCCAGTGTGGCCCAAACCCCTGAAAAGCAGTTCTTTGGGTTTCAACCCCCAAATGGTACTAAAGCCAGAGGAGGATTCAGATAGCTATATGGTCCACCTATGTCTGTTTCCTTAAAAACCCAACACTAAGGGGCTGGGGATTTAGCTCTGCGGCATAAGCGCCTGCCTTGCAAGCAGGCAGTTGTGAGTTTGATCCCTGGTACCGATAAAAAGGAAAAAGGCAAAAAAA